ACCTCGGGACAAATTAAAATTGACTGAAGATGCGTATCCTACTACATTCGAAAATCAGCCTAAGTACTTATCCAAACATTTACCACGAAATCGAACAACTCCTAGTGAAAGAAGAGAAAGGCTGAACATACAAGATGAACGATGAACGAATTTCAGTGCATGGTGTGAACAAAATAAGATTGCATCATTTGCTGCCTTTGAGACAGGATTGAAGACTAGAAGTGTGGATCCTTTTTCAGTTACTGTAAGTAGCGAATTTGTTAGCTTTATAAGAATTAAGGATAGTGATTTTTTCTGTGCCAGAACACATAATTAGTTTTAAGGTATCTAGTTTGTTGGAAGTGAAGATTTTCCATAAAAGTGTGAGCTTGCTGATCGGCCTGGGTGATACTGTAGAAGAAGAGAACAGTGTAAATAGATAGTGTGTAAGAAGTGAACTGTGTAAATAAATAATCAAGAGAACGGAGTCGTGTGTAAAGAAAAATAATTAAGTGTAATATATATGTAAATAGACCAAGTAGTTTTTAGTGTCAGTAGATTTTAGTGTATAATTGTTCACGAATAAACGTTTTTGTTTAAAATAGTGTTGGTTTTAATTCACCATGAAAAACGTTACAATATATTATTGCGAATGAAGAAAAGATGTCACGACTAGTATGATTCACCTAAATGCAAATAATTTCCAACCCGCGACAGTGCACATATTTACGGATAGTATTTTTACCACAATTGATTTGAGAGAACTTTCTATGCCTTCGATGGCAAGGCCAAGGAAATTATACGAACACGGACGGGAAGAGTTCGAAGGAAACTGAGGAGAATTCGGAAAAGGAGGCGAAGGAGGCTTCGGAAAAGGGGAAGAAAAATATTCGGGAGAGGAGACGGAGGCAAAAAACAGAAACGGAGGTCTTGCGAAAGAAGGCGGAGGCGGGCGAAAAGGGAGAAGGAGAATGACACGAGAGAGACAAAGAAGACGGAGAAGAATTTTGTTTTGACAATAAAAAATGTTTCCTATTTACCATTGATAGTCGTCAGGTAGGGGAATCCAAATGAGTAGTTGTTAACAATAAATCGTATTCGATTCCATATGCTAAGTGCACCGGAGCCAAAGCTCTGCGGTGGGGAGGGGGGGGCTTTCAGGACACGCACAGCCCACCCTCAAGGGCTTCTCGCTGAGGACGGACTCTCACAAACTATCAGTTTCTTTTATTTGTTTGCATAGCCTCTGAGTTCGAATTCACACAAACAACATTAAATATGTACATTGTTACGCATAAATCCAAAACATAACAAATAGTGAATATAAAACGAAAGAACCATTTTAGTGTGACCTGTTTTCTTCACATATTTATTTTTAATACAAGACACGTGTGATTGTTTCAACCAAACAGTTTCTGAATTATAATCGTTCATGTACGAGTGGATGATCCCCGGTGAGAGTTCGCTTTGGGAGAACTCTTCTCGTAGAAATAATCATTCACAGGGCCTTGTCTTGTGTGGAGACGCATGTTGTAAATTAAGGCGAAGTCCCTTTTAGAAAAAACGCATATACTTAACAGAATATTTAAAAGACTTTTCCCTCGAGACAATCTGCGTATGCAAAGCTTAAATGTTTCTTTCAAGAAACACTTTCCTGATAGAGAGAATATTAAAAACCCTTTTCCACTGCATGAATCCGCGTGTGGATACTTAAATGTCCCCATTTTGAAAACCATTCCGGCAGAGAAAAAACTCACAGGTCTTTTTGCCTGTGTAAAATCCGCATGTGCATGCTTAAATATTCCCTTTGATTATAATCCATTTGGCAGACAGAACATTTAAAGGGCTTTTCCCCTGTGTGAATCCGCATATGAATGCTTAAATATTTCTTTCGAGAAAAACCCTTCTGGCAGACAGAACATTTAAAAGGCTTTTCCCCTGTGTGAATCAGCATGTGTTTACTTAATGTTCCCTTAACTGAGAAACCCTTTTGGCATACAGAACATTCAAAAGGCTTTTCCCCTGTGTGAGTCCGCATGTGAATGTTTAAATATTCCTTTCGAGGAAAACCCTTCTCGCAGACAGAACACAGAAAAGGCCTTTCCCCTGTGTGAGTCCGCATGTGGACGCTTAAATAGCCCCTTTGAGAAAAACCCTTCTGACAGACAGAACATTTAAAGGGCTTTTCCCCTGTATGAATCCTCATGTGTTTACTTAATTTTCCCCTATCTGAGAAACCCTTCTGGCAGACAGAACATTCAAAAGGCTTTTCCTCTGTGTGAATCCACATATGGTTACTTAAATGTCCTCTTTGGGAAAAACCCTTTTGGCAGACAGAACATTCAAAAGGCTTTTCCCCTGTGTGAATCCGCATGTGGTTATATAAATGTCCTCTTTGGGAGAAGCCCTTCTGGCAGACCGAACATTCAAAATGATTTTTTCTAGTGTGTATCCGCATGTGCCGGAGTAAATATTTCTTTTGAGACAAGCTCTTCTGGCATATTGAGCATTGGTGTCTTCTCTCTCCGAAATCATTTCTTGCTTGTGTAGGCGATTCGTTTGAAGAGCCCGCTCCAGGGCGATCTGCAACTAAAAAGTTCATTTCGTTAAAAAAAAAAGTTTCACAAATTAAGGAGTTGGATGGTAATTCTGTGACGATTAAATATAATAAATAAATTAGACATGGGGCTAAACCGAAATGCAAGTTCTCCATAGTGCTAGGGTTAGATAAGATATTCTTGGACATTGTATTAAAGTTCTGCTGGTTCGGCTCTTATCGATACTACCAATGCCACCTAGATTTCAACACTGTGATGGCGGCAATCTTTGTGACGTCCCGCTTAGAAGGCTTAGATTCCTCTATCTCATACTATCTACGCTTTCTGTATACACCGTGGTTTGCGCAGACTGATAAGGTGCAATTAAATAATTATTGATTCAAGATTGGCTCTCCCAGCAAACAACTAGAACTACTATTAATTGATACCGATTACGATTGTTTTTAATGCGTGTAGTGAAAACATTTATTTAACGTATTGCACACGTCTACAAGTGCTGTGTGCATAAAATGTAAAGGGAGTTGGGTGTACAGTGAAGAGTGAAAACGTGTCTTCTTAGGTCTGGTTTGTGTTTTACTTGTAGCAGTATTTTCGTTATCAGCAGTGATTCGGCGAAACTTTCAAGTCGGCGTCTTTAGTCAAAAAGCTTTCTCAAGAGTAAAAAGCTTCTTTAATATTTTTGTGCCTATCAAGAAAAGCGAAAAGCTAATTGTCAAAGAATATTGAATAATTACTTTAAATATTTTTAAGGAAGTGTTATGAATTGTTCCAAGAAACATCTTGATAATACTGAATAAATCTTCAGTGAAAATTTCTTTTCCACGTCTTCATTTTTAAATTTGATATTGTACCAGTGCAATGGACGTTACCTTTACATTTTTAAACAAATTAATACCTTTCGTTAACAATTTTCCCTCTTAGAATGGACACAGAAGAGTAGGGAAGAGTGTGGGGTTTAATATGCAAGACTTCTCGCCTGGGTATGCGGAGGTTGTATGGGATAACACAAAGAACAAACTTTTTAAATTAACTACAGTAAAATACACCAGGTAAAAAGAGAACTCATAGGAAGTCAAATGAAATGCCAGGCAGTTCACGTACAATAAATACGTAAAATCTGAAATACGGGAATAAGTTCACGAGCTCTTTTTTTTAAAATATACCCCCAACATTAAAATTAATTTTGAATGTAATTATGCCAATACAAATTTGCCTAACTTATCAAGATCCACATTGCATAATACCTTGAAGGATACCGGTTTTGTTTACGAAAGAAGAGGAAAGATGACAATGTTAATGGAAAGGGACGTCATTATTTGCTGGAGATACAAATATTTGAGAGACATTAGAAAATTTCGGAAAGAAGGCAAAACTATTATTTATACGGACGAGCCGTGGGTTAATGCTGGGCAAAATGTTCACAAAGCTTGTCGAGATACTGAAATTAAAACACCTCGCCAAGCTTTTCTTGCAGGTTTGAGTCTTCGTCTCAAGTCACCGACGTCCAGGGGTCCTCGTTTCGCCTTGTTACATGCTGGAAGCACTGAGGGATTTTTAGTGGGAGCAGAATTGGTGAAGCAAAAAACAAGAAGAAAAATAAAATAATAATAATAATAATAATAATAATAATAATAATAATAATAATAAAAGCACTGCAGTTGCTCACGATGAAGTGTATGAAGACCTTTACGATCAATGGTTTGAGCAGAAATTGCAACCTAATGTACCGAAGGGCTCCGTAATAGTTATAAACAACACACCGCATCACTCCAGAAAATGCGAGGCTTTGCCAACGAGCAAGTGAAGGAAAGAGTATATCCAGATATGGCTACAGGAGTAAAATATTGCACATGAAGAGGATCTATTAAAGCGAGATTGCATTGCCCAAAATGAAAACCAAAATACGAAAAATTTTAAATTGATGAAATCGCAAAGGCAAACGGATGTGAATTGTTACTACCTCCTTACCACTGTGAACTTAACCCCATCGAAATCGTATGGCCACAGGTAAAACATTAGATCAATGAAATGGAACCCCTTATGCGCGGTTTCAACATGACAATTGGCAAAACTATATTTCATACGTAGTGAACATTGAAAATGAGAGGTGAAAGACTAATGAATTAAAAGATGACGTAGAAGAATTTGTAGTTCATGAATCAACATAGTCGATTTTGCCATCTGACTCCTCGGGTTTATCAGAAGAGGACGGAAGTGAAAAATTTAGAGGGAGTCTTATCGTTACAAAATTAAGTGGTTTTGTAATTTTTGGTAAGTGAAAATTGTATTACTTGATGACAATTATTTCACTGAAACTATTATTAAACTTTATTTGAAAGTGATTCAAAAGTACATAAGAATTCGGCCATTCATTATAAGAAATTCTAAAGAATCTTACATTTGTCACGGATTGTCTATTCTATTGAATTCAGGAATAGCGTATAAAATGTCCAAATGTTTTACAACTTGTATACTTCATGATTAATTGCATTTGGATTATTCATGCACGTGCCCGACCTCGCCAGAAGAGGCAGCACCTGATAAAAACTCTGAACAGTAAATGTCGCAAAACACCACTTGCAATGCTTCACAACTCATTGAAATTGATGTCATGTATTTTGAAAGGCGTGGAACAAACTGTAAAACTTCATGTCAATCCAGCAAGGCGGTTGTTGCTCGTAAGCGCTGTGTGAGAAGTGGCAACGCCGTCCTCCGTAAGCGCCATCAAATGCTTGGGCGCTCTATAGCAATGTAGCCTAGTGGCGCAAATCCGGTCATTGACGGGACTCGGAACACTAGGACCTCACGGACAGAGGCACTGCAGTGACATCAGTTGATGCCCTGAGCTGCCTCTGTCGGTATTCACACATCATCTTAACGTACTTCTTTAGGTACCGAAGTGTTTTGTGAGCCAATCAAAATCAGATTTTTCAGTCCTGAGTATTCACTGTCTCATTATTGCATTGACTTCCTCTTGCTCAGCCTTCAGATCTCATTAGCCATGGCTAATTAAGAGCGAAACAATATGTGTGACATCTTTCCTTCATTTGCTATATTATATATTTTCCATAAGTTGACAATTGCACAATCAATTTTTTTCAACTTCTTTTTCTTCCAGCAGATCATTTATATTTTCTTTATCTGTAATTTCCTCAACACAAGGAGGGACGTGCACTGCATCAACCACATGCGCAGAAATAAGGTAGACATCTTCCTCTAGAAATACGTTCAGCAGTTGATAGAGGCCTTTATTTTCATCTCTTCCCGAAATTAGTAGAATTTTTGTAGAAGATAAATTATTGCGCTTACAGCTTACAGCATTGCGCTTGCAGCATACAATGGTGCAACAATGCAGGATAAGACTATCTCCAAGATGAGATAAGCACATCAGGAACAAAATATGAAACTAGTTCTATTACTCAACGATAATATTCCAATTGCATTTGTTCTTTCATGTTCGTACCATATACTCACTAATCATAACGTTGAGTACACGCAACATTACAACAAACTTATCTACATAATATTTGATTTATTTAGCCAATAAATAATAGAAACTGTATATGACGTATGGGGAAGAAAATCAATTGAGCACGTTTTCTTAAATTCCAGAACCCCTTCCCAACATTTGAACTATAAATAGTTGAAAAACGAATAAAAGTTTAAAAAACTAATAATAAAATTTAAAAAACGTGAGAATAGCAACATTTGTAGATATTAGACATTTTCATTCCCGAGTTATAAAAAACAATTGCATCGGCAAACGAACTCAGATATTGCCAACAAAATTGCAATTCACCCCAGCTCTGCTCCTACCACTTCCACCACTCCAGGCAAAAGGAGAGTTCAACAAAACGTGCGCATAATGAAGATATATTTACGCCCAAAAGCAAAACAAGGGGCCATCTCAGCATTTGCTCAATGAATCATGGAAACTGGACACAAACCTGATCGAGATGAGGGTTATTGACCCGAAGTCGAAGTTAGTTACTTGTTACAGGCTCATTAAGTCTTTTTTAAATTACATAATACAAATGTAAATTAATGAATTATGTATCATTGTTTTGTTGGAATAAATATATTTTTTATTTTTATTTTTGATGTTCAGTGTAGTCTATAACTGTATAGAAACAGTTATGCAGCAGAAAATATTTACCTTTTAACTTAAATTTGTGTGCCGACTTTAGATTTTTAATGTCATCTGGCAATGCGTTGTACAGTAATGTATGAGTACATGTATTGTATGTGAATTTATTGTAGTGAGCTGTTGATAATGACACTTGATGAACGTAATTTTTACGACATGTGTTGTAATTATAATTATCAGTATTGCATAAAAATATGTTCCCTCCGTTAAGTAAGTCACTTTTGACAAAAATTACAGGTTCGTCAATAAATAGGCAAGGCAATGGTAAGATTCCAAGCTCAATGAAGAGATGCTTGCATGAATCACGTGGATGGCATTTTTTCATTGTTCGGATTATTTTCTTCAACCTAAAGGTTTGGGTACTACAGAATGAGCTTCCCCAGAATACTATGCCATATCTCAGGCGGGAATGTGCATTTGCCAAATACACGCAACAAGCTGCATGAAGGCTAACAGAATTTGAAAGAATACTGAATGCGTAACATTATGAACTTAATTTAGTGTTTAATTCTGTTATACGTACCAACTCTGTTACATGTTCCATTTGAGGTTTGACTGAATTGAGATACGTAGAAATTGTTACTTTAACATCAGCTAATTGCATATTGTTCATTTTCAATAGATCGTGAGATTGCCGATTTGAAATGCAAAAATGCCTTGAAAACGTTTTTCCTTCGTTAACTATTAATTTGTTATTACGAAACCAATTTGAAACTTCTGAAATCGTACTATTTATTGATTCTTTTTTGCAACGAACATTCGCGTCATCGGCAAACAAAACTATTCTTCCATTTTTAATAGAACATGGTATATCGTTTATCTATATTAGGTAGTTTTAGCGCCACGCGTAAGGTAACGGCGTTAGCCACTAAGTCACGTGACGGACCTTGAACTCATAACATCTTACCTTAGGCCTAAGGCATGACCTTATACCTTCAAAAATAGTGCACGCCTGTGGGAGTCTCTACACGGCCACCTTACAAGTGGCAAAATGGCCGCCTAAAAACAGGAAAAGTTTTTTTTCCAACTCTAATAAACCGATTCTCGTATGTAAGGCAGTTACAATTATTCCTTATGAACTCCACAACGCTGGCAAAAATTTACGGGATATGTTGGAGAGGTGACAGGAAAGAAATTCGCGAAAAAGGAGTTCAAACCATATCTTCGGGATAGGTTATGTCTTATGCTCATAACAAACGCAGTTTTAAGGTATATCCTACATTTTCAAGAAAAGCAGATTCAAAATCTAAAACTCCATGCACAATGTATATTTGCTGTTCTGTTGACTCGTAACGTGTTTTAAAGGTCTCACCACTAGCCTACACTATTTGATATATTATACAATTTCTCTGTTCAACGCTTGAAATGCTTCCTTTGATATAATCTATATTGCACAACGCAATGGCGCAATTGCTAAAACTCTTCTGAAAGTTGTTCATTACGACCGTATAAAGGCATTAGTCACGTGATCAATAGAGTTTAAGGATATCCCCTTACTCCTGGCGCTAAAACTCCCTAATAGAAAGAGGATAGGTCCTATGATGGAACCTTGAGCGACCCTATGCTCAATTGGTAAAGAATTCGAAATATAAGTAAATAATGTCCGTTCGTGCCAGTACGGTATTTCTACTCTTTGAGATTGATGCTTTAAGTACGAGGTTATCCAGTCTAGGGCAATACCACGAATTCCTTATGGAGGTAATTTTGATAGCAGGATTTTATGGTCAATAACGTCAAAAGCTTTTGAAACATCTGAAAAATCTTAGTTTTTCCTGCGAAAACTTTCCATTCGCGCAAAGAAAAGTCTAATATTTTTGAGAAAACAGACAAAGGTGAAATTTTATTGAGGTATTGAATTCCATCCTTGTTCCCTTTTTTAAAAAGTGGCATAATTTTTGCAGCTTTGAAAATATCTGAAAGTATTCCTGAGCGTAAAGAAGCATTGAAAATATGAGTTAACGGATGTATAAAGGCAGATGCACGTTTTTAATAAGCAATCCGGAAATTCATCCAACCCAGAAGAATATTTATTTTTTAGTTTACTGATTATTCTGAGGACTTCTTTAGAACAAGGTTCGGAAATAGACATAGAAATAATAAACAATATTATTTGGGAAGGTAATGATGTTGAATTTTGTGGTTGTAGTCCGATCAGCTGCAATTATGCAAAAGAGTTGTTTGAAGAGATTTGCAACTTTTTTTGATTTACTTTCTTCTCTTTTATTATCCTTTAAAACAACATTCTCTACAAAGAATCGAGTGATGTGGTCGTATTTTTTACAATATTCCACATTGCTTTAGTTTTTGTTACAAGCGTGTGAAATATCCTGATTATACTTCATTATTTTTGCCTGAACTATGACTTTCCTTAAAATTCATTTGTATTCTCGGAAGTAGACATGAAAACCGGGTGATATGTTTTGATGTTTAGAAATAAAGTAAAGCATATGTTTGTTTTTACACAATGTTCTAATTCCTTGTTTTACACGATGTTCTAATTCCTAAGAAATTGAAAAAAAATGTCGAGTTTTCAATAATTATCCAGTTAATTATATAAACAAAATAAAAATGAACAACAGACTGACAAAGATAAATAATGTGAAGCAACCATAAATTAATAATGATGAAGTACCTGACACTGTAGAGAATAATAAGATAGTTTGCTTACCATACATACCTCAGATAAACAAAACAAATTACAATAAAAAAAGGGCAGTGTTACAAACTGCTTTAATTTCTTTCTAATTTACTTACAATGAACAAAACTAATCTGAAACATTAATATTAGCAATCAACATTTTGAATCAAATTTTAAAAAAAGCATTTGAACTCCGCCCATTATTTCAGAAAAACAATTCTTTTTTCTACGAAGGTTGCCTTTTATGTTTCGGGATGTTGCAACCCTGGTGTTACAATCTGGCAACTGACAGCTCTATCGTAAAGTTGGATGTTTTGAGATTATACGTACTTAGAACGTTTTGATATACGAGCGCTATTTGTGTTGTTTACAGTAACTTCAAAGATTCATCTTGGCCCAAAAATGGAATTAAATCGTGAACATTTTCCTGCGATTATTTTTTACAACTTTCGACGTGGATTAACTGAGCAACAGTGCATGGATGAACTTAATTCAATTTTTGGCGATGAAGCTCCATCAAGGACCAGTGTTTATCGATGGCATGGTCAATTCAATCGTGGTCGTAGTTCACTCCAAGACGAATTTCGCGAAGGTCGTCCAAAATCAGTTGTTGCGAAAACCATTGATGCTGTGCGTGAACTGATATTGCAAGATCATCATGGGACCTATTGTGAGATTGAAACAACCTTATGCATTAGTGAGACCACCATACATTCAATATTGCATGAACATTTGACTGTCAAAAAAATTTGTTCGCGATGGATCTCACACAATTTGTCAATCGCTCAAAAAAAGGCTCCTGTCGATTGATCGAAAGAAATGCTCAAAAAATACGATCGCGGTGCTTCGAAACACGTCTATGACATCGTGACAGGTGATGAATCGTGGATTTACGCGTATGAACCCGAAAGTAAACAGCAGTCGACTGCATGGGTGTTTCAAGATGAGCAAAATCCAACAAAAGTTGTTCGCGCACGAAGCACTTCCAAACAGATGGTCGCCTGTTTTTTCGAAAAAAATGTCGCAACCGTACCACTAGAACAACGCAGAATAGTCAATTCTGAGTGGTACACAACGATTTGTTTGCCAGCTGTCTTCCAAGAAATCAGGAAAACCAACGGATCACTCTTCACCACGACAATGCGAGCTCTCACACATCGGCTCAAACAATTGCATTTTTGAGCACTCAAAACATCGATTTGATAAGTTATCTGCCGTATAGTCCTGACTTGGCATCGAATGACTTCTTTTTATTCCCGTACGTAAAAAACAAACTGAGATGTCAACGTTTTTCGACACCTGAAGAAGCGGTTGCTGCATTCAGAATGCATGTTTTGGAGATACCTCAATCAGAGTGGCAAAAGTGCTTCGACAATTGGTTCAAACATGCAAAAGCGTATAGATCTTCATGGGGAATATTTTGAAAAACAATAAAGTAGTTTTCTATGATTAATATTTATTTTTGTTCTCTAATCCTGAAATATAAAAGGCAACCCTCGTATAACTACCTCATTAGAGAATAATTTGCCTTGAAAATTTCATGGACTTTCAAGGTGTGGCAAAAGGGAAAAAAATCTTTTAATTGTAATCATAAAAATGTATACAATGTGACCGAATAAAAAATTATATATTCAACTCTGTTATTATATGCACAATACTGTCCACTATATGCAATTGAAACAGATCTAATGTCTATCTTCACCTCTTAGTGGTCACATGGATTACTGGTGTAAGTCAGGATTATTCATTTATTGTTTACAGTGAGAGAAGAACAATATTTTGGTGTGAGTAGATAGATAAATAATGTGAAGCAAACAAAAATAAATAATCAGGAAGTACCTATCATTATAAAGAATAATATTTTTTGCTTACCATACATTCCTCAGATAAACAAAACAATTTAGAAAGATTAAAAAAAAAAAAATTGCAATAACTGTAGTAAAATAGAGAATGTGATGACTAATATGAAAGATAAACGTAATAAAGATGATATACAAAATTTTATATTAAAAAATTGAATGTAAAAAATGCCCAACTTCTTGCATTGGACAACCCAAAGGAATGCTATAAACCAGAATTTATGAATAAAACCATTCATAAACTAAACCCATGAAATTCCAAATAACCAAAATTCTCTAATTAATCAGAGAATTACAAAAAGACATGAAATTGATTTTTAACTTTGAGAGTTTTGATAGATGTTTCAAAAATAAAAATTGTAATGTGTTGTAATAGAAATTGATTATTGTTTTTAGTCTGAAAATGGGTAAAATTATTATCCAAAATGTCACATCATTTTTATACTTCAATTTTTTAAACATGATTCTATTTAGAAACCTAAAAAGAAGAATAGAAGTCTAAGAAAAAGTGTTAAAAAAGTTAAAGGCATCACGTAAATCTTGTGAATAAATAACAATTTTTATAATTTAGTCTCAATCAAACATTGAAGGTCAAGAACAAATAAATGTTATAATAGAAAAAATGACAGACATAAATAAATGTGAATATTAATGTTTTGTTCACACCTGCTGATTGGTATAAATCTTATGCGAATATCGTGTTCCTTTATTACATGTATGATAAACTTTTTTTTAAATAACTAAATTGTACACTGATTGTCAAAAAGAAAAGAAGACACCTGGGTGTTAAATTATTGATTGTTATGTATTTATGGGCACATACAAAGTTGAGAATAGTTGAGTGTCGAAATGTAGTTTCTCATAGAGTATTTGTACAGATACACTGGCGGTAAATCACTTTTACTTGTTAGGACTCCCAACTCCTCCTAACTCACATACTGGCTTGAAAACAAATCCAAATCAAATGGCATTGCTATGAACTGCTATTATTAATGCATCCAAATTTGTGGAGTACTCCGTACCATTTGTAATATATGAACAAATTAATAAAGAATGTAATATTGTGTAATGTAATAGAATGAACAAATTGATACAGAATGTAATATTTTACAACTAATCACATTTTTAGATACCCTTATTTATTTTTAAAAAAAATAATTTGTCCAAAAATGTTAAATAGATTTTCTTTCATACGGACTACAATTGTAATATATGCGACCACTGACTATATCATTACAATCACTGATCACTGAAGGGTTAAGCAGGTTTGAAGTTATAGTACTTTAAGAGTAACCATACAACAGTTTTCATACACAATTAGAAACCCCTCTGCAACCATTTAGGACAATCAATTAAAATTTTACCAGCATTCACACACATGTGTATCCCTTTAAGACCTGAAATTATTTTTCTTCTCCATTTAAAATAAATGTTATTATTATGTAATTTCTAACTTTAAAGATCTGTGGAAAAATACTTTTAAAAACATTGCCATCCTAAATCGGCATGGGACAACTGAGTCACAACATAATTTCTAAAATCTAACTAAAAAAGCCATTGTTTAATAGAAAAATATAATAGAAAATAAGCATACCTTTTTAAATAAAAATTAAGTGTTATTTTTATTGTTTTTTTTTTATGAAAATCTCCAAAACAATTTTTTTCTTGAACGATATAAATTATCTGTGCATTTTTAACACCCCATTTTTGAACAGCTCTTCCAATTATTGTAACCTACATTTTCTCTTTATCAAATTTCCTGTTTCAAAATAAAATACATATTTAGGAAATTTGCAGAATCGTCAAAAAAGTTTCCATCAAAATACTGAGAAAAGAACTCAAACGAGTTTTAAAACATCTGCCACAGCTTTAATATTTGTGTATTGATTCTCTCCTTCTCTCTGAAGCAGATGGCAAATCATTGTGTTCCCAGTGGACACGTCTTGTGTTTGTAGATCCTGAGAGACTATTTATGGGTTCATGCTGCCATCTGATGAAGAATTTCCTTCGTCCCGCTCCAAGCAGAGTTCTTCATCATCAAAACACAACACAAATGGGAATCATCATTTAAAATATACTCAAGAATTTGAGAATCTGTGATGCAAGGACGGTTAGATGTCCAAACTAACGTAAATGTATCAATATTAAGTGAAGAAAAGGATATTTGTCATATAGTAAAACTTACTCAATGTGGAATCTCAAGGGACACGTTCCGCAATAAGCAAGTTTTATTGTATTCACCTACAACTATTAAAAAATATTTAAACTAATATAATTATTCACATCATAGAATTCCAGTAGCACTTGACGTCAAACCTTTACTCTCATGGCAGTTGATTCATAGACTACTATACTAAAAATTACTTTTAAAAAACAAACTATACCATAATACACTTCTTTAGTACACTAACCATAAAACTTAATCCAAGCAATCTTCTACAACTAGCAATACACTTAAAAAAGCAATCACAAAAATGCACAAGTTAACTGGCACAGCCACATGAAATTTGAATTCAAAAACTAATTGATCCCTGTGACTATGATTGCACTGTAAAAATGAATCTAGTTGTGTAAACATACACTACTACCTCTATAGCTCTCTCTATGGTCTTTTTGTGTCGTATTTACACTATAAATATTACTCACACAGAAGAAACACAATTTTCCAAAAGACCAATTACTCAACAGACTGTGACTATAAGGGTGATACCCGGTATATCTAGATTGACAGGATTTTTTATAAAACCATTGTAAGAGAATAACTTCTTTAAGTGTTTTTGATTGACAATTGAATGTGTATTTGTCCCCAGTATTTCTCATTGCGGGAAACCTAAGTGCTTCAATTCTTTTTAAATGTAACTCAGAGATCTATAAAATCACTTTTACTGGGGACTCATCACAAACTTTAGTGCACTAAGAGTGACATTGTTACGAACATCTAAATAATGGTTTTACTATTTCGCATGTCAGATATTGCATACGCTGTGTATAAAACTTGTGCGTAGAATAATTCTTTTAAAACTATGTCAAATGTCTCTCTTTTTCTTCTCTCTAAATGAATTCTGAACAACAGTTCGAGAACTTCGCAAACTACTCTGGCAGACCCTGTTTGTTAACAATACATTTTAACCTAGGCTTTTAGGACGAAAATACAATTAGCTCTTCCCAAGCAGCGATAATCCGCAGATGTCCACTAACGATAATTCTTATTAAGTCTAATGTACCAGGCGAGAGTTCGAACGTTCAATCCAATAGGTCCTCTTCAGTTTAATGGGGCCACCGTTCAATGCCACGTAGCCAACCAATATCTGCAAACGAACACCAAGTCACTTGGAAGGTCAGATACACAACAAACTTTTGGTAATTTTCAACTCGAATCAGATAAAACAAACAAAACTGTTTTCGGTATAAAGTTTGGAAACAATATGGGAGATGGAATTAAGATCGATACGTTGGGTAGCTATTCATTGTTTCTGTGAAAGCCAGTATTACCGCATCTAGTCAGATTCACTAAGCATAATCAGACTTCTGCCATATCCTGCAGTTTGCAGAAGTGTCGTGTAAAGCATGTTCCCACATCCCCAGACCTGTGAGTTTTGTGTGTAGCAATGGAACTGGAGCTTTTTGACCTAGTGCCCGCAAGGACTTGGGAATTAACATAGGGAGCTTGACTAGACATGTCGTATATGTGTCTTTTATGATTTATAAGGTATCAAAAGTTACTGCTAGTTTGCAATAGCTTCACTGCTAGTTTGCTGCAGTGCTAGATATTCAAAAGAAGATTCTACCAGGAAGCTGAGTTTAGCAATAAAAAAAAATTGGCAAATGAATATTCAGAAATCTCACAGTAATTGAAGCCAGGTTTTTCTAATTTCAACGAGAAAGTACCCATCTAAAAACATGACTCAAGTGTACTTGTTCTGATTTTTGGGTAGCTTAACAACCTGTAAGAAAAAATTTTTTGTAAGTACGAAATAAAATATATAGATGTAATGATGTTAACAGGGTTTTCCTCATTTTTATCATTTTTCTATACCTCTTTTTTGTAACTTGGTATTTTTTCTAGGCTATAAGAATTTTGAATGTATCTCGGTGAAGTATGAAACACTTACTCATTCATGAAACCTGCTGTAACTGTAAAATAACGTACATTGATCAACTCGTTTCAAATAGGATTTGTAAATGATATCAATTGTATTATGTCAAGTTGTCTCTTCATGTGGATTGAACTTAAGATACTAACAAGCTAACAGTAAAACTCAATCAACAGACACACCATTAAATATATCATAAGTATTATAAACTACATTAATTTTTCATGTGAACAACAAGCCCCAGAACAAGTTAGCTGTAAATACTCAACCTCCGTTCCTCGCTCATCTCTCGTTTTTTATACTCGTGTGACAAAAACACTGTGACAGGTGGTTTCAGCTGCTAAGCACACCCACAAACAATATTATCATCATATCTTATTTGCTCAAGCCCGGATATCTAGCACACATTTCCTCTGAGAACGAAATAACTCTCAAGTAGTCAAATCAAATCAAAACTAAGAATAGTGCTGTGAAATGCTATCTTCCTAGTCTTCGCTTCTTAAATCACGACCTTCAAGGTCTTGCTTGTGTAGGCCATGCGAGAGAAGAAAAAAAAAATAAAAAGCCAACAACACAACAACAACACATAATCAGATTTAGTCAAATTCCTGAAACAAGTAATAATAAGTATTGAGTGACAAACGAAAAAAGATTCACAATAATGTTACAGATAACGAAATCACAAACGACTTAACCACATGCAATTTCGAAGCAAACTGAAGGCTGAATAATTTCATAATCTATCTAACTACTTTCGAAACGATGCTCGCATAATAATTCCCTAATGAAAAGATGTAATCTCCACCTACTTCCTCAACCCGTTACACTAAACGCTGTCTCCAGGAAAAAACTTTGGCAGGCGGCACCACTCCTTACCACCAGAAGCAAATCATTCACGTTTCTTTTAGTGGATTCTCCTGTCTTTAGAACTTTATATAAACAAGAACATTGGCATTGATCTGAATGTTTGCTTCACTTATCATTTTGAAACCATCAAGAATCAATCAACAATATAGCCCTATAGTCGAGAAGAGTTTAATATAAATCTCAAAAATCACTGAATATATGCGTATTGAAACCCTAACATAATCATGTCTTAATATCCAATATAATAATCCTTCAGCTTCAGCCTCATTCCCATGTTTTCTCTCAGTAATCATTTAATACAAGAAATAGCGAGTTCACATAAGCACAGAAATGACACAATCATTTTCAACGGTTAGACCATAAGGAGATATAAAAATTGCACTATTTATGGGGTTTGGCGTGTCTTCAAAAAGTATCAGGTTCTTTCTTTAATCTGAAAGCCAAAAGAGAAAATAACAGTAATAAACATTTTTCTCATTCATTCAGTATACTAAAGAGAGACTTACTATGTGTAATAGGCAAGTACGAGGATCCTTAAGTTTCTGAGATAGATGATTATTTGCAACCTGACTAATAATAAAACATAAAAGTTGCTATACAAACAGTAATCTTACCTTTCTCTTTAAAATATCTTTCATACATAGATTATCTTGTGCTAGTCCATTTGGGTAAATATGTCCGTAAATGCAAATTTTAATGCTTTGATAGCATTGTATCATTAGTAGATGGAAAACAGGATGTGACTGCAGTCAAAAGAGCAAACATGAGTAATGCATTATTTCTATTGTTATTTTTTTAAAATAGTCCCATCTTAATAATATAATTTAATATCAATTTGCGCTATACAGCAGCCAACTGCATAGTATTTAATTAATTATAAATATGATTTATAACAACTTTATAATATAGTGATTCCTTTAACAACTATTCAATAACAAAATTTATATAATAAATATAATTTCTTATAACAATACAAATATTCTTATATCAATTTTAATTCAATACTGTTCAACTATACACTAGATTTAACCTCTAAATTTTCAACTGACCCAAATTCTTGAATTTTTTGTGTCAATCATTATATATGCAAGTTTCTATAAATATTTTCCATGAAGCTTTGCTGGATTGAACATTTCCCATATGGAAATTAATTAGCGTTGTCTTGTAGGGTAACTGATAAATTCATGATTTTTCTAACTAAACATGCAGATATTCTGGCAATAAGTTTTCTTTCTAATCTATGAAATTAATGTTAGTACATCTGTTTTTACTTCTGTTTCACTGATAAATAAGCTAATTCTTTTAGCATATTGCAGACTTTTCATTGCCTGTTAATCAGATACGGTTTCATTCTTTGATTTGAAGTTAATTTATCTTTTCATTTTCTTTTATTTACATAGTAAAGTAATAAGTGGAACAGTAGATACACATGGGGCCTGATCAAATTATTTAAATAATTAATATCCTTTCCTGGCTTGCAAATAAACTTTCTACATGTATTATATAACAAGTTAACTTGCTTAACTAATGCGTGGTTGTTATGAATTGAACATAGATTTTAAACATTTAGATGGTTTCATTAACCACTCCAAGATATTTGAGAGTGTGTCAAAATCATATTAGCAAAATTCAACCAATTAAACAAATTGACTGGTCTGGATTCCTTGTCTTAACTAATTTATCTTCAATAACATAACCTTTGTTTTACCAACATTGAAATCAAAAATTTCACTGCTCTCAAACATGTCTATCACCGAGAGTTAATTCTCTATTCTATGGTCTATTTATCAATCTTTGTACAGTTATATACGATATAGGATTAAAATCATGTGTCATCTGCAATGCATATGGAGTTAGCATTGTCTTTTGCACTTCCAGAGATCAGTTAATGAAAACGTATGTAATACATACATAACAGACAGGTGGGTCGTATTTTACTCCCTGTGAGTGAGACTCAGTATTAATTCTGGTTTTTTCATCTGAACACTATTGTAAATCTGACGTTCTGATACCTTGGTATGTAGAAAGCTTTTTTAGATACTTATCAATACACGTTACAGTGACTATATATTCTTTCAATTTTTCGCAAAGTAATCCCATTAATTTTAAATGCCGTCTTATTCATAGAGCTCATCACGTATCTCACGCTTATGGATAGGCTTTCAACAATCTCAATATACATTGCAATGCTGGTCTCTGGGGTGCTATTTATTTCTTCTAAATCCATTGCTCTTTGTTAAACAATTGTTTTCTCTAAATTTTCATTGTTTCATACACATGTTTTTAATTAGATTTTTAACTGGAAAGGAATTTTATGGTGCTAACATCATTACATGCAGCTATTCTTTATTTTAGCTAAGAATAATTGGTTGATATTGTTAGTGTTTTGTTATGCTTTTCTTTGAGTAAGTGATTGTTCAAAAATTTGAGTAACTGTTTTCCAATTACTGTCCAATTTTTTAAATCAATTCCTACTAAGTCCATTAGGTTTATTAGTGTCTCTTAAGTTTTTATATCTTGCAATGATACATCTGAACATATTCAAAAAATTTGAGCTTTTTAACCATTTCTAGCATTTACACAGAGGTATGTTTCCGATACTTTTACTGCTATTACTATAATCACATATATTTTAGTCTCAACATCACCATCATATAATGTTGATACCGTCAGTTAATAATTATGAATCACAGCAATATACATATTTTCATTTGTTGTCTCATTAATTTTATGGCTATTTTTAGGGTGTCTTCCATATTTTTAAGAGCTATCTTAAATTAGACGAAGACCATAAAGCGGAAATAAAGAATATGAATAATTTATCAACAGAAAATACCAGTTATGGGATCACCTAACTTTCCGTAATTGGAACGATAGGACCAAAGAATGAACAACTGCCCATGTTCTGCGCGTGCAAGGACACACGCTCGACGCATCTGCTTGCTTCCCGTCGCCGCCTGCGTTTAACGAGAATAACATGTGCACCCCGCGATGTCGCTGAATTCGAAATTTGACATTGTGTCTTATTTTACGTGGCCTGCTCTTTCCGTCTGACCACCCTTCCAAATTTCGGCGCTAACAACACCTTTCACGCCGCCAACTAGGCGCGGAATTGAAGCGAGATTTGAATTTAGCTGCAGAAGCATCCATTCAAGGCTTGAGGATCCTTAAGATCATGCATAGTAAATTCCACTAACATGAGACAGGCCAGCTTTACCCTTCCCCTCTCCAGGAAGGTGCATTGCAGGATTTTTGTTTCGTCCTTAAAAATTTCCCTACGGCTTCGATCGCGGTTTGTAACCGTTCACCCTATCTAACGCTAACCGTTAGCACACGCCTACACGACTTCCAACGACACCATCGACGTCGCAATGAACAGGGATTATTACCCCAAGCCATTTGACTGATAAATACAAGAATTTTCTTGCGACGTTGTTATTTTTTCGCCGAAGACTGTTTAATGTAAGAATGATTATTTTAAATATTGGAGGTTCTCACCCTTCTTCAATTTCTCATCTATCTTTTCACTTTCAGTCATGCTGCTTTTGGTTTATCCATCGTTACAAGTGATACTTTCATTAAGGTCTTTCTTCTGTTTTTTGAATCTATCTTCGGACTTTGCAATTTAGAATACGGGTTACGGAATGGATTAATAAAAGGAAATAACATCTAATCTGTGCATTCTCTCCTCAGCTGTAAAGCACGTGTCTTTTTCTTTATACCTCTCTCGGAAGAATACGTATAGGCTTCCAAGGGTCAAATTTAATGAAGGTTATTTATGATACACATTTTCTTCCTGAATTCGAAAGATTTGCTTTCGAACACCCTTCCTTTCCGTTGCGCATGTGAAAGTTCAAAAGCCGACGGTCATGAGGCATTACCAGTAGGAGCAGTGGATACGGTTCGTGTAAATCTGCGAAGTTGCTCCGGCATGGCGTTTCACGCCAAGATGCTGAATTTGCGCTGTTTGGAACCAGCAATATATCGATTATTAAGAATATTTTTATATAGATCTGGCATTTCATTTGGTAAAGGGAA